CCTTTGGTAAATGGGAAAACGTTTACTGAGAACAGTAAAAAGGTAATCTTAATATTTTGGGATGAAAATTACTGTAGAAAAGGAGAAAAAAATGCAAAGGATATCATCCAGATTTTCTTTGCTCCTATGAATAAGTGGATACTTCATAACCTGCAAGCCGATGATCTATTCTCTGGTAATATAAATTAGCAATGATAAAAACATTTAATCCTCTGAGATGCCATATTTTCTCACTAACGTCTGCTTTCTGAAAGCAGAATATGCATACAGATTTCTGGGTGTCATGAGTAAAGTATTTAATAAAGAAGCAAAATGAAAAAATGCAACATGATTTTGCATAGATTCTTCAATTATATTAACCAATAAACCTGGATTTTATTTAGGTGAAGCATTTCCTAGATACATGTTACATAGTGGGAAAATTTAAGCATGGATTACTGCTTCAGAAGAATCAGCAGTCTAAAGAAAACCCACAAGAATTCAAACTGATATATTTTATTAATACAATTCCAAGATACTAACAATGCAGAAAACAATGCCAAAAACAAACATTCAGTTGGCTGTACTGTCTGTTTGCACTGAAATAGAGCAGAACTAAATATATTGGCACAAAGCAACAGAAATCAGCATATCCTTTAAAGCAGAGTGTGATGGCACAGAATGGCCTTTTTTTTGTTTTCTAAGTAAAAACTTCAGTTTGAAATATAAACCTGTTCTTATTTGTAAAATAAATTATGTGGTGCTGTTGATGGAGGCAGATAATAATACAGAAATAGCATACCTTGAAACACGGTATAGCTAAATACACAAAATACTGCCAAAATTTGTTGTTGCTTACAATGAAGAAATATGTCACCCAAATCATTACATGCAAAGGTGCATTTTTATACCCAAAAGATTCAAAGGCTGCTAACTGATGACCACTATTTCAGATCTATACAACTTCTCCTATGAATTATTTCAAAACAGGTAAAAAAAGCCCACTGAACTTTGCCCAATCACAAGGACCTAGCTTCAAAAGTGGAATTAGCAGCACAGATTATATACAAGCAGTTCAGCAAACTATTCAAAGTTCTAAATCTAAAGAATACCAGACAGAACTACACAGCCTTCACTGAAAAGTGTTAAACTAAATGCCACATTTGATGTTTACAGAGTATCGAGTTACCATCCAGGTAAAGACTTTCACCATCAATATATAAAAAATAGTTTGACAAAGTAATCTAATTTTACCAAAACATTTTCAGGAAATCTAGAAGAGATATTCCAATGACTGTACTAGTGCTAGAAATAAAGTTCAGTGATAAATATCTTTTTTTTTCAACTAAGCACTTATGAACTGTAAATATAGAAAATTAATAAAAAATATTATTAAAAAAGTGATAAATATCTTATTATTTTCTCCAGCTACATTGAAAACCTGAAAAAATTATAGAATTAAATGTCAGCAGCAACTAATCAGATTTCACAATCAACCACAAGATGATACAAGTCATGTTCAACAATTACTCCCAACTTTTGACAATAAAATTTGAAAATCATGAACTGGAGAAGATTAATAGTTATGACCACATCAAAGGATTACCACGAAGGAGATATTGTAAAAGAAATGTTGCAACTAAGTTGAAGAGATTTGGACAATCTCATGCTGTATTTAAGAGCAAATGCTTAACATAACACACCATGACAAGAATAAAAGCATAATATGTATATGACCTAATAAAATGGGTAGTCTCATAGAAATTGCAAATGAACTAGCCATATGGCATGATGAACAGATCAACAGTGGACGACAACAGCAATCCGTGACTGGATACTGACATTAAGAAAATGTATAGTACTCAATTTAAAGGTGTTGTAGACAGTATAGTGCAGGGGTATCAAACTGCCGGCCCAGGGGCCGGACGCATCATCAGAAGCCGTGCCCACCCCATTGCCAGCAATGGCAAAACAGTCCCAATGCGTCACGCGACATCACATGACGTCACGAGTTTGACATGTCTGGTATAGAGGATGGCCTTGATGAATAAAGGGAAGATCTATTGCCAACGCAACAATCACGTAAACAAGTCCTGAGCCCCTACCAAGAAAGAGATTTATGAAAAAGCTTCTAGTAGCACCCTTCCCATTCACGTAAAGGTAAGAGAGGGAGAAAGGAAGTACATTCAGAGTTGCAAGATTCTACTAGTTGTTCTAATAAAAGTAGTTTTAGGCCCACATGGTGTCTCTTTATTAGTCTCATCTATTTTATAGTGGTGATAGATTAAACTAGAAACAAATTGCAATGTGCTGAAGAAATTGGAAAGTAAAGAGATCTTCTTCCTGCAGTGGATTAATTTGGGCTGTTCCTAGTACTGACAGATAAGCAGAAAAGCTTGATAGTTTGTTTACACAGAGAACATCTACACAGCATGTAGCTTACTTTCTAGTCATTTAGGATACTTAATCATAACCAGGAAATGTACTGAACTTCATAACTGATATTGGGTCATATATCAGTAATGCAAATTTCTATTGGAAGAAATTTATTCAGTGAAACATACAAGTAGAATCAAGCTAATAAGAGATCTGAATAATTATAATAGCCAAGAACCAATTCCAATCACCTCTGCCACTGATTATGCTGACTGTGACTGATGGAACTTTGAATCCAACAGATCTGCGAGCTTCTCCTCCTGCATTAACATTTCAGTCAATTTGAGTGGTTATTTTGTATTAACATTTCAGTCAATTTGAGTGGTTATTTTTATAATCAAAATCAATCTCAGTCTAAAGTTTTATGGAGCCAGAAAGTAAATAGATAATTAAAATGAAATTAATCTTCTTCCACGTGATGTTTTAAATTGATTTAGACATATCTCAAGGTTCTATAAATGCCAATGGACCTTTCTTGTTTAGCAGCTCACTCCTATGTTGTTTATAAATAGTTTACATAAAGTTTGCTGCATGATAATGGTGCTCAAAACTAACTTGCCTAAAAAAGCAATAGACAGATTTGTATCACAATAGAATCCCCTTCCTACTTCAACTTAGATTTTCCTAGGTTTTATATTTTACATTGCTACAGTTTACTTAATTCCTAAATCATGAATAATTATTATGGATGAATCTTTTATTTCAATATATTAGATTGAGGTATGCAGCTATAATATTTTTTCTTTCTCTTTTTAATGTTTAACTCAGCTTTACAACCTCTAACTTTCAGAATTAGAAACTGACACTTTGAAACTTTGAGGAATTATAGCAGAAGACCAGATATTACTATATGCAGTTGCTATGTTATAAACAAACAGAAATCATTATTCCTAATGTAATTCTATAATGAAGAAACGTTATAAACTATCTGGTAATTTGATAAATTGTAAACTGTCAGACCATGTCTGGTGATAGTATTAATTACAATCAGTTTAAGGAATGGTATTTTAGGTTCTGTTCTCACTCCTTTGCTTACCTCAGTAGAAGAATTCACAGGATAGTTTTCCATCATTTTGAGGCAAATCTAAAGAGAATTTGTCCAGAGTTCTTAAGATATTTGGGTAAATAAATGTGATTAATATGAACCCAGGATGATTTACATGTTTTCAATCATATTCAACAAGTATACAGGTTATTGAGCAAGTATCTATGAGAAAGGCATCCTCTCAGATAATCCTTGCACAAATTACATCTTGTTGAGAAATTTTCAACTTAACTGAGCATTCATTTTAGTTGGTTTGTAGAATTATAAATATTAATATACATCTAATATTAATAAAATGGAGCCACCTCCAAAGAACCATGTAACTAAATGTTTGCCATATAGCAAAATATGTAAAGCTATATGTAAAACAGCATGGGAATGAGCTGTTAAAAACTTTCATTGGCACTGTAAGAGCCTTGAGACATACTTGAAGAATAAACTTAAAGTACCAAACTGAAGCCAGTTAGTTAATTCCATTTTAATTACATGTTCATATTATGGTTTCACAAAAACATTAGATTGAGATAAACATTGACTATGAAAATAACCCCTAGCATTGGCTTCAAAATTCAGCTCTTTGGATTTATTATTTGACTCTACTGAAATCCTAGCAAGTATTGTAATACCTATTTATTTACTTTTAATACCTACATGTAATGCTGTAAGGTATGAAAAACACTACGCTGCAAAATACAGATTTAATTCATTTAGCACTGAAAAAGATTACCTTATATTGTGAGACAACACCAATTAAAACTGGTATGTACATCTATTTGTAGGATGAACACTGTCTCTGCAATATTATTTATTCTGGATCAACTACATTCTGTGAAATCTCTTAACAACTTTCACAGAATGAAAAAAATATATGTAATTTTGACTTTTTTTCAAGCATTTTATTATTCAGTCTTTTCATCCATCTGGGAGGAATAATCTTTTTTTTTTTTTTGCAGGAAGGTGGTGAATTTTATATTTTTATATGACCTCTGGAATAATGAGCCTGAATATAGGTTCACTTAAACTAGTGGAATGCTGCTTTCAATAATGTGAAATAAGCTTTCTGTTATCTTAAAATAAGGTTACCCAATAAAAAGGTACTTTCTTATAATGGATAGAAAAGAGTTTCATGTTTACTCAGATTAAATACACACTATAAAAATTAATAAATACTGACAAAATGAGTTTCCAATAAGAATCCCAAATCTTAAGAGTATCTCAGTTTTTGTTTGGTGCCTTTCAATATTTTAAGGAAGTGCCGATTTCACTACATTAATATCTTCCACAAGAAATATACCCGCCCTAATTCTAATTACAGTACTGAACTTTTAAAAGAAAAAAAACCCTAAAGTAAATACTATATCCAAACTTTCCCCCAAATCATGTCACTCTTAAAAAAAATAATATATCAATCAGACACGTTTTATAACTTTTAAAATATTATTTCCTTTGAACTCAAAATGTAAACCTGTTTAAGGATCCCATTTTTTCATATCAACCACATACTCAATGGCATCCTCATAATAATATCAGCAGCACTTACTCATCATACTTGATATGATAAATAATATCTTCAGTATCCATATAATCTGTATAAGATGTGGAAGGTGTATTGTCCAAATTATTTGTATTTTCTCTAGAATGGTCTTGGCTCAAGTTTCCATTAGTCCTTTTGTAATTACTGCCACTCTTTCCTTGAGCTTTTCCATTTTTATGTCCTTTTGTTGCTCGAGTTACATTTTCTATATGAGCTTCGAACCAGGATCCAATAGTGACATCTCGGGCATCCACCAATTCATTTATCTAAAAATAAATTTGACATTTAGTGAATGTTACACTGTAGAAACAAACAACTAATGTGATGATGTTGAGCTTCTGTGCTAACTACATTCACACTTATAATTTATTTCTAGTTTGGCATTTTTTGTCTGTACACTCTTATACTGCCTATATCGAAAGTTGTAAAAACAGATTTATTTCATAAAGTAGGATAGTCCTTTGTTCTTCCGTACTGGAATTCCCCAAACTTCTGAAGCAGATCTGGAGTTGTGCAGAAAATGTGTGAAGATAAAAAAATGCCGGTGGATGCCACTTTAGCAGCAAACTATTGCCATTAGGTATAAATCTGATTGTCAGAAAATTGTTTTAAAACAGAAGTTGCACAGAAACCATATATTTAATTAAAATAGAAGTACTGGACTATATAATATTTTTCTTTCACAGTATTACTCATTATCACCAATGATTTAATGTATCTGCAATTTTTTAATACAGGTATGCCCAACCTGTGGGTTGCATGCAGCCCTGGACAGTTAATAATGCTGCCTCACAAGATCATAAACTTTTAACATTATGTGTTTATATAATATTATTAGTTATATTTTATATGTGGCCCAAGACAATTCTTCTTCATTTTATGTGGCCTAGGCAAACCAGACAGTTGGACATCCATGTTATATTTGTTGCTTCTATTTTAACTGGATGTTTCTAACTATTTACTGTTTTCCTAATATTAATATTTTCTGTAGAATTATCCTTCATCATACAATATTCAAATAATTGAATCAAGAATACTTTTTCCCTCTTGCTATGTACCATATTCTAATGCAAGATACACTTAATTTTTTGCATATAATCTAAATATTTATTAATCTTGATAAAATATACTCTTTTAAATAACAAATGTTGTATAAAACAAGTCTTGCTATGCACCCAAAATCATGAACTCAGCCATCACCATTGCACCAGCCTTTAACAACAAACTCCTCTCATGTAGTAAATTTTCACTTTTTAAAAAATAAAAGTCTCCTACGTTTTGCTGAAAAATGCATTTAATATCTTTTTAAAATATGCCCCTAAACCTATCCTAATTAAAGTCACATTATGGGTAACAATGTCATTCATGCAGATTGCCATGAAAATAGATTAACTTCCTTGACTTTCTCCATACCCCAGATTGCCCAACCTCTGCAGCATATCTAGGAAAGCTACAGAAACAGAAAGAAATTGATTCATAGTAATACATTCCACTGATGGAAGTACAAGTCTGTTTATATAGATACCCAATGATATCCACAGACAACATATTTTAAAATGAATAAAATAGTTTAAAATATAGTATCATAAACCAACAATCTAAAACATAGGTTTCCAAAATAAATTTTCAGGGACAGTGAAAGCAATAAACTAATATTCACTATTTATCTGTGCTTAAAATCTGACCATAATAAGTAATTTGAAAACAGAATAGAGACCAAACATTTTTATATTAGCGTAATAAATTATTTCATAACAAAGCCATACGATTTAATATTTTCCCTAAATCTTTCCCTAAAATTGTGTTATTCTTTTTATGTGGAAGAATTCAAAGGGGTGGTATGACAAAAGCAGTTTTTCCTCTGTTGTAGCCTCCAGGCATGCTCCTAAAGATGTTCCTAGCATCTTAGCATCCCAATTACCGTAACTTTTTGCATGGAGATTAAGAATGTGTAATTCCACTAGAAATCCACAATTTACATCAGATGGGCACAAATTATCAAGAGGAAAGGTCACACTGATAAATTAAAATTTCTTGTGGGTCACAAGGAAGTATTTGGAGTCCTGATCAGCTGTTTTGTAACTAGCAATGATGAAACCATGGGAGGTGATGGCAGCAGTGAGGCCTGGAGATATTCAGAAGCATGTCTTTCTTTGATAATGACTATACATTTACTACTTTTTATAAAATATTTGTGAACCTCATGCAAAACATGGACAGTGTGTTGTGCAGGCCTGGTCTACATGGCTGGAATCTGATAGATTGGGTGACTGTCTATATTTGTCAAGCCCCATTTAGAGCAAACTATGTAGTGAAACTACATCAGTTTCAGAAAGACATCTTTAATGCTAGCCAGGATAAAAATATAATCTTGTAAATTCCCAGGCAGATGTGCACTGCACAAATTAAGTCATAGTGTCTTTGAAATAACTCCTTCACAGCCCACCACCACCAGATCTGGCCTGTGTTGCTTCTTCTCAAATAAACTGAAATCTTCCTCCCCTACCACCTTCCCACATTCATTCACATTTATTGTACATACCAAGAGATGTGTTGCAACTTGAAGTTAGAAAATCACTGAGAAGCAATCATAGAACTGTATTAAATACTAGGCCAAAATTTCAGTCTCTGCACTTATGTACAGAATAGCACATACACAATCAATAGCCATTTCTTTTTATGTGGACATATGCTCCTTATTTGTGTGTGTGTGTGTGTGTGTGTGTGTGTGTGTGTGTGTGTACACATATACACACATACACAAACACATTTTCCAGGAGGAGGAAGAAAAGTTCTCTTTCTTTCTACATGAAATGAGCTTAAAATCATTGTCCCTCTGCTGCCAACTGCAAAAAAAGAATTTAACGAATTTGCTGGGAAAGAAGGAAAAGCCATAGGGAAAAAATGCTTAAAACTACTCTATTTCATCTATTATAACAAGAATATAGTGATTTTAAATATCCCTGTAGGGGTAAAGGGGGAAATGATACAAATAATCCCCTGCAGATTAACTAAAAAGTAAACTGGGACTATTTGGAAGTGATGATCATAAGACTTGAAGCAGGAGGCCACTTACATAGGTTCCGTGGTCACATTTTTAAAAGATGAGCTCAGAAAAGGTCTGCCAAGTGCTGCCACCTTCTAAGATTACATCTCTATATACTATCTCAAATAGAGATAAAAATTTGCCTTGAAACAAGCATGGAAAAAAGGAGGGGTATTCATATATAAACTATATGTGATAATTATAATGTTAAAAAGCGAAGACACTTCTGGAATCTTAAATGGGAAATTCAAGATCTGACAATGGAGAAATCCCAGAAATGAAAAGTCTCATGCATTTACATGCACATGCACCTACACAAACCCAGAGTTCTCACATCTGTAAATTTTCATTTCATAAAGCTGTTCTTCATTTAAAAAAATACTTTTTGCACATATTTATAAGTAATATAAAATGTGTCTCTCCAATAAATAACCTCTAATCTACATGTTACTAGATGCCACTGTTCCAAACGTTGGATTATTTTAATGTCTTTGAACTACAAAGTAGTTCATAAGCATTGACAGACAAGTTAGCTCTCAGAATCTGACCAATCATTACATTTGCAATTGTTAAAACATTAATTACTTTAAGGTATTTTCCTTTTCCCCTGCACAGCATGGTTTGTACAGATTTAAAAGAATGTTCCTATGCTGCAGAGGCACTTATAATTTCAAACAAATTATTGTTTACGGAGTGGGAGAGGAAAATTGTTTGGATAGGTCATAAAAGTAAACTGGACCAAATGAACTTGAACTTTTCTTTCTCAGTAAATGAAATCAAGTACAATCATAAACCAATAATTATAAATAAGGCCTAATATTCCCATTACCAAGCTAAATGCTACTTTTCTAAAGGCTAACACAATTCTGTACAAATATCATGAAAGTAGACAGATGGCATCCATTTTTATGATCCACTACCACAATGAAAATCATTTTCAGAACTATTTAAAGGCAAAATAAGATATGGTAGTCCTCTATACGAGGAAAGAGATATGAGGCAGAAAGTTGATGAAAGGAAGGAATGGATTAAAGAAAAATCACCCACGACAGAAGGACAAGCATATAACTGATAAGAAGGGAAGAGCAGGCTATAAAACTAATAGGTTCCAAAGAACAACCACACAAGGATAAGTGTCTGTGTGAATAAATTTATATAGATTCAAAATACATTCAGACAAATAGTAGGAGCTGAATTTATATATGAACTTGACCCTAACAGAAATACTGGGCTGCATAGTACTATTTTATCATTTAGAATGATGGGCCTTCTTATTCCAGCCATTCTATATGCTCTTCTACTTTGTTCCTCTCAACCTGGACACTGTCCATTTGCTTTTATCCTCTACAGTATAGAGATGAAAGAATCAGTGGAGCAGAGGATAAGCTGGATGAAACTATTTTAAGGACTGAATCTGGTCATAATCCATTCACTGGAACCGCTACTAGATCATAAACCTCACAAAAAGAAATAACACTTTTCTGGCATAAGATGAACGAGAGTTATGATCATACTTCAGTTACTGCACTGAAGTTAGAAGCATAGGTAAATGGCTTCTAAGAACCGAACGATTAACAATGCTTGAATTCCAGCTGCAGCAGTATGTATTTCAATAAATGTCTATGGTAACTGAATATTAAACAAAGCAAATAAAAAGGCTTTTATATTTTCACCACATCAAGCAGGACATGTGTTCACATAGAATACAGCTTATAAAAGCATGTCAGAAAACAGAAAAGTATTATTTAAAAAAATTGTAGTCACAATAAAAAATACCAAATTACAGTACTATAATAAAAGAACAAAAATTCTCAATGTTATATTCTCAATCTGTTAATTTTCAGAGATTCCATAACCATTATTTAAAAGATTTCCAAGAGAAATCAGAAACCAAAAGAGTAAACCAAGAAATAAACTGCAACATTCATAATTCATATTTTCCTGAGCCCTTGTAGTTACAGTTCAAGCTAAGGAAAAAAACATAGCTCCTTTAAGGACTACTGACAGGTACCTCATGGGAGCCTACAACAGAATCAAAGTATCTTTGCATGATTTAGAATCCCAATACTACACACATCTAGCATTAACCATATGATTTAGTCCAAGGCTTTTCAACCAGTGGTATGGGTACCACCTGTGGTACATTGGCACCTGGCAGGTGGTACGCGACCATCCTAGAAAAGTGGTAGCGGGGGAGGGGAATGAGCTGAACTGGTGGCAGCACCGCACAAGGCTGAGTGAGATATGGCTGGAGCTGCAGGGCTGTCAGGGCTCAGCGGAAGCGCCAGGATCAGCACCAGGATCCAGCTGAGGAGCTCAGCGCTGATCCTGGTGCTTCTGCTGAGCCCTGAAGAAGCACCAATCAGCTGGAAAGCAGCACTGATCCTGGCGCTTCTGCTGAGCCCAGAAGCACCGATCAGCTGGAATGTTGCAGCATCTCCAGGGTCTTGTGATTTACATTCAGATGCTTGGCAACTGATTCATATTTATGACGGTCACAGTGTCCCAGGGTCATGTGAAGTGACCAAAACCTGCTGCAACCACCCAGCAGATGGGGGGAATAAAAACCAAACACCCCCACCCCACCCCCGCTGCCAATCCTCAACAGAAATGCTCACAACAATGAAAACCTCGGACAGGAGGAAGAGCGCGGCTGGGCGGGCAGGCAAGTGTCTTGCTCGGCTATGGCTTGGGGGGCACTTTTTTCAGTGCCACTGTAACTTCAGTCACTAAGCAAACTGTTGTAAGTCAAGGACTACCTGTACTTTATCACTTTTTCCTTTTCCTTTTTTTGGTCATCAAGTTTTTGACACCTTGCTAGGCGACTGGTGGTACTCGGATGTTGCCATATCCTAAAAGTGGTACAATGGGTGAAAAGGTTGAAAAGCCCTGCTCTAAGAAAGCATTTTCACAATAAACAATGTAACAAAAACACTTTTCTGTAATACATTCAATCATAGGGCTAGTGGAGATTCAATAAAGCTGTGTTTAAACAACTGATTATAGGTCAACAGTTGTGTTTAAGAATTTGGCTTGTCTTATGACCATAGCTGTGATTATTACCTAGGAAAAAACACAGTCTAAAATTATAAGCTAAGTTAATGATCACATTTTTGAAGCCTAGTTCTGCAAAAAAAAGTTTTCAGTTTTGCAAAGCAAACATTTTACTGTTTCTTGTTGTCCTATTGATACCCTAAATATTTTCTTGATAAACTTCCATAACAAAGAGATTCCTTGATAAAAGGTTTAATCTCAGTAAACAGAATGGTTGGAAGGGACCTTGGAGGTCTTCTAGTTCAACCCCCTGTTCAGGCAGGAAACCTTATACCATTTGAGACAAATGGCTATCCAATCTCTTCTTAAACATCTCCAGTGTCGGAGCACCCACAACTTCTGGAGGCAAATCACTCCACTGATTAATTGTTCTAACTGTCTGGAAATTCCTCCTTAGTTATAGGTTGGTTCTCTCCATGATTAATTTCCATCCATTGTTTTTTGTCCTGCCTCAGGACAAGAACAGGAGAATAGGTTGACTATTTGTGGCAGTCCCTTAAATATTGGAACCCTGCTATCTTGTCCTTCTTTTCATTAAACTAGACATACTAAATTCCTGCAACTGTTCTTCATATGTTTTTGCCTCCAGTCCCCTAATCATCTTTCTTGCTCTTGTCTGCAATCTTTCTAGAGTTTCAACATCTTTTTTATATTGTGGTGACCAAAACTGGGTACAATGTTCTAAGTGTGGTCTTACTAGGGCATTATAAAGTGGTAATTACACTTCATGTGATCTTGATTCTATCCCTCTGTTAAAGCAGCCTAGAGCTTTTTTAGCAGCTGAGACACTGCTGGCTCATATTTAAGTGATTGTCATTTGGAAGTAAATGGATCCTTATTTAACCAGCATCACTTTGATATAAATTCTCCATCACTTCCCTCTTTTTAATAACTCATACTTTCTCACTGTCAATCCATCTTAGCAAAAAGATCTTTGGTTTTTATTTGGTCAATGAGGTGTTTAGGACCAGGTATAAATGGAATTTTTCAAAACCAGAACTGAAAAAGATTGTTAAAGGTCAAAAGCAAATGTTACTATTGTTCTGTTTCTTGTAAAAAAAAAATTAAAAAACTTTTCTGGACAAAGCAATCACAATAGTGTACTAAGATATATTAGTATACGTATTGTGTATATGATAATACATTAACTAAAGTGCTAATTAATGTTTCATCTCATTATAAAGATGCTAAGAAACTACATTGACTAGTTTATGCTTCTGGCTAAATATAGGGAAAAGGGAGTACAACTTCTGTAAGACTTTCACCAAAAGCCACTCAGTCTAAAGAATAGTTTTTCTTCTTATAACTAAAAAAATCTAGAAAGGGATACTGACATTGAAAAAATATATTAATTCAGTTTATGGATTCAGAAATAATACTGGTCATGGTTCAGACATAAGATCCATAAGCAAATGATTGTTTCCAATCAACTAACATATTATGTTGAGATGCCTAGGGCAGATTTTAGTACTAAATGCAAAGGCAACTATTATTATTCATAATTTAAAATATGCACTGCAGAAAGATAGGAGGGAGAAAGAAAACCCTGTTATTTCCTTTTATTATTCCTTTGCTTTGTTTATTTAACAACAATAAAAGCCTGCTAACAGCCTACGTGAATAGCCAGCGTTCTAGAATAGCCAGTATTGATCTAGAACCAGGAAGGCCCATATTTAAATCCATTCTTTCAACATGAAAACTCTCTCAGCCCAACTTACCTCTTCAAGTTTCTGTGGGTTAAATGGAGATGCAATATTAACTCACCTTTAGCCCCTAAAGAAAATGTAGGATATAAATCTAATTATTTTTAATTAATTAATTAATTAAAGAGAGCCAGTTTGATGCAGTAGCTAGGGCCGTGGTGGCGAACCTATGGCACGCGTGCCACAGGTGGCACGCAGAGCCCTTTCTGTGGGCACACGCGCCGTCACCCCAGTCCTAGGCCTTCAGCTGGGTTTTATAAAACCTTTTCACTTTAGGCTTCCACTGTCGTGTGCAAAAAAAAAAGGTTCAATCAATCAATCAATTTCAACTTCTCGCGGGGAAAAAAAAGATCTTGCAAAGTTGGAATTGATTGATTGAACTTTTTAGTCCTACCCAGTCTGCCGTTACTACCGAAGCCACGCCCACCCAATGGGCCACACCCACCCAATGGGCCACACCCACTCAATTGGTCACACCCACCCAATGGGCCACGCCCACCCGGCACCTGACGATACATAAGTGGGTTTTGGGTTGCAATTTGGGCACTCGGTCTCTAAAAGGTTCGCCATCACTGAGCTAGGGCATCAGGATAGAAAATGGGAAACTATGAGTTCTAGTTAGCTAGGTGACTATGATCCTATCACTCTCTCTTAGCCTTAGCAAGAAGACAATAGTAAACTATTTCCTAAATCTTGTCAAAAAAAGAATTGCAGGAACTTGTCCAGGCAGTTACCAGGAATCTAGACTGACTTGAAGGGACCCAAAATAATAATAATTATTATTATTAAAAATCTTTCCCAAATTTATTCCAATGTAATATACTATTGCCCCATAATTTTCACCCAGCAGACTTTAATTCTAGAATCGTGGCACCTTTAGTCCAATATACAGTATATAAAAGTAGACAGTTTTAAAAGACTGCATAAAACGCCTGGCCAATTCATATTTCTGATTACAGAAACTGCTTTATCTGATATCTTCTCTTGTGTTATATTTGCCTAGCACAACCAGCCACTTTATTTTGAGAGCCCTAAACTTTGAAAAAATATGAAGCTAGAGACTGCTCTGGAGAGGAGGGGATGGCTAAGTTGCGTTTCCACTAGCACTTCTCTTTTCTAGCTACCAGATTTAAAATAGAGAAATCATTATAGTATATTTCCTGTTCTAGAACAGGCATTCAATACATAGTCCTTATTTTTAAAAAATGAATTCACAATCATCTTGGAAATATAACTGGGAGACACAGTCAAGATTAAAAAAATAAAACAAATACCTTGTATTCACCAATGCCAGGATCTATAAGAAACGAGCGAGCTGATGTAGATGGCAAACTTGATGATCCACTGTTCACTCCTTGTTTGATTTTATTCTTACAGTTGGTAACCGCACAGGGACCAGGCTTTCCATCTTTTTTATTCAAAATTGTAGAAGGAACATCAGACTCTGAGCGTATCAAAAGCTGAACTATATCATTCAGTCCAACATTATAATCAAATAAGGTATGGCCATCTTCAAGCTATTAAAAAATGCAAGAAAAAATCCATCAGAAAAATGTATATTAAAAGAAATCAATATAGTATAAAAATATGAAAATTAAAAACAGAAAAAGCTTGCATGAAAATTAAATCTATGATGTACAGAATAGCTGGTATTAATAACATATCATCTTTGGTTTTTAGGGGATTTAGAACTCTCAGTGAAAAGGTGAAAAGCTTCATTGAACAAAATGCCATAATATACTATTTAGTATATTTCTATTTCTACTTTTCAACTAAATGAATATAAGACAAAATTCTCCTTCCCTTTACATGGACACTTTCCACAACATTCCAGAGAGTTATTCAATATCCAAAATAGTTTTTCAGGGTCTATGGACGTAAGTAACACTGTCTACCGCTACTTTCTCCAACAGAAGAAACATCAAAGTACTCTTCAAGAGAAGTCTGGAGCTACGTATCAGATTAGTATTGGATTTAACTACTTCTCAGTTAAAAAAAGATACTAGAAAAGGATCTAGTCATGTGATTTCATTTCTGGAAAAGCACCCAAAAGAAACTCTATTTATAGGCAGAGGCTTGTCCTCTAATGTTTGATGATGTTACCTAGTTTGGTAACGAAACGTCCAGAAGGGAAGCAGCAAGCTTGGAGGACAAACCTCTGCCTAAATCTACAACCCAAGCTACGAATATTCTCTACAATTTCTAACTCTATTTATGCTAATAATTTAATAAGTAAGAAGTGGTAGAACTCCAAATAAAATGCAATCTGTTAATTCACTTCTTCCTTCCTGTTAGAAGGAAAATACAGAAACAAAAAGAGATGGAGATACAGTAATCCCATATACAAAGATACTTAATGCAGATAAACTTGCTAAATCCCATTCTCTACTTTAGTCTTCTATGACCATGTGCCATTCATATGTGTTGTTAGTTCAAGTCAACATTTTTGAAATTACAGTATGATCTTAGTATAATTACAGGAAGCCAGGTTGGGGAAGGTATTTTTCCTTATCTTATTGATAAGGGGTCCAGATTGTATTAATTTACTTCATCTATTATGATACAAGAATATAAGTTCCATTCAGGCTTTCAAAATCTTATCAATACAATTAGGGGAAGAAAAAAGCAAAACTGTAGCTCTGCTTTCTCAATGTCCTCTTTATATTCAAGGTGAATTTCTGAAGCAGAGAACCTTCATGCCATAATTTCCAGGTAATAGCACTTAAACTTATATACCACTTCAAAGTGCTTTGCGGCCTACTCTAAGCGGTTTACAGGATCAACATATTGCCCTCAACAATCTGGATCATTTTACTGGTGAGATTCGAACTGCCGGCAGTCAGCAGAATTAGCCTGCAAGACTGCTTTCTAACCACAGTGTCACCATGGTCAATGTTGCCACAACTATTTTCAATAGTTACAAATAATACTTGTTAATTGAATAGGATAAATTTGGCATTTAACTAAAGGCAAAATTATGAAGTATGTGAATTCTTTTATCTTCATTATAACAGAATGTAATTTAATACCAGTATTAAATAAGAAAGCAGAAAACTGCTTTTTATGCTTTTTATTTTTTTCTTAGTCCTAAAAATCAATTTTCAGAACTTGAAATAAAAATAAAAAACAGTCATCTCATGTTACTCTTGCTTCACCATTCAAATCTTGTTAGTTTTTTTCTTCCCAGAAATCAGCTAGTACATTCTTAGGACAAGAAATAACATTATCAAATAACTCAGCAAGTCTGGTTTAGTTCAGTTATATATATGCTAAGGGTTTCTCCCAAGTGGCATAGCTTCAAACTACTCATGCAGACTTTGGTTTAAGGTTGTCATACTATATAATAAATGTGACACAAAGTTTTCTTCCAGCTGGAACAAGACAGAATGGAAACAAACATGTCTGGGTGATATGAAAAATTCAAAAAACAAAATTAAGATTAAAACCAGAGGTGGGCAATTTGGTACTCTTACAGAAGGATCCTCTAGGCATAATTAACCATAAGCTCTGTTAGCCCTCCGCGGCTCACAGGCTGCCGTAGGAACCACGGGAGGTTTAAATTTACCTGTGGATCAGCTGGCTAGTGGGAAGCTCTCCTCTTGTGGCTGGAAATCCCTGTGGGAGGGGTGAAATGGAAGGAGAAGGAGGAATGCTTCCCCCTTTTGCCAGGGTCACACTTGGTGACCGGAAAATGGCGTCCGCTCTTTGTCTGTCCGGCTACCGGCTGGACTCAAGCCAACCTCATGGCTATGCTGCAATCGGCCGATCAGGCAGCAGAAAGGGAAAAGGAAAACGAACAGCTGTTCGTTTTCTAGCGATTCCCCCACCCCTTCGAATTAGTCAGAATATCAAGAAATATCAAGAGATACGACCTTATCTTCAGGAGTCAATGAAATTCAGTCTAATCGGGCTCAAGACTAGTCGAGACTGGGGAGGGGAGGTCTCAAGAGGAGAGGCGGAGCAAAATTGGCCGACTAGTCTACGGGCAGAAGACGAGGAAAACCCATTGGTGGATTCTCCACTCGTCATGCTGGAGAATACACTTATTGCAAAAAAATAATACAGTGCTATAATTCAATTAAATTTCCAGCCACAATCACAGTGTTGTAGTATAAGCTTCTGCTTTACATGTACTTGCAGAGAAATTAAACTATCTGAGTTTTCTGAATATGTGAAGCACGTTTCCAGGTATGGCTTTACAGAAAAAAGAATCATATATTCTATGAAGAACATGATATATATTCTATGAAGAACATGATATGTGAACCTATAAAGTGTAATTTATTTCACTATCCATCTAGCATGCTGAAACTACAAAAGAATCTGTTGCAAGCTAATCATTAGAAGCCAAGAAATTAAATAATAAAAAATTTTTTCCCTGTCATCAAGAGGAAGGATGAGGTAGCAGAGAATGTCTAAGAATAATCCTAAATATTGATACAGTAATAAAGATTACGCATGCTAAGAATCATAGAATAGGAGGCATTTCTATTTAGAACTTAATAGTAGTAACTATTCAAAAGGAAGAACCCGGAGCTTTCCTTTATGGGAGAAACATGGGCAGCAAGACAGATAAATAATTTCAACTTAAAAAAATAGTATCCTCTTCAAGAGTTGCTTATAAATGAGATGTAGCTGTTGTCTGGAAAACTGAAAATTCACAATTTTATAGATTAAAAAAAAATGAAATGCCATGTTTGTATTCTCCTATCAGGAATAGTGAAAGAAATCTTGTTTTCATTACTGAATGCGGAGAGTGCAGGCAACCATATATACCAAGAGCAATATAATTGGTACCCTATTTTCAGTAGTCATTTACTGTAATTTTATATAATAATGAAATAATCTTGTATGAATCATACCCTCATAAACAAGAATGCAGACTGAACAAATTTTGATGTGTTTGATATTCCAATTCTGAACTTTTACAAATTGGCTGGGTCACACACCTTGCAAAACCAAGGCTTTTCAAACTATGGGTCACAACCAGAGGGGGCCATAAACAAATCTAAAAAGAGTTGCACTACTTCTTACTGTCTGCACTCAGGCAGCCTTCACCAAACTGCCAATGCTGGACTGAGCTGGGCACAGGATCCAAATACTCTCCTCCAACGGTTTTCCATTCACGATTCCTGAAACCACCCTAATATGCTCACAAGCATTAGCAGGACATCATGGCTAAAATTCAGTTCCTTTGTCTTGTATTGCTTTTTCCCTGTTCCAAGGGAAGCTTTTCCTGAGCTTCTTCCTGAGGAGCATCATGCTGGGTCCAGAAACGGAGAAAACTTAGCCACAAGCACAATTTCTCTAGGTTTGGGGGGGGAAAAACCTACCCTGGCTACAACCCTCAAAGAAACAATGTCTCCAGGCTTGGAAAGCAACCAAGCCTAAGCTTGACCATCCGTCTGGTTCCCACGAGGGCAGATTCCCAGTCCTGCCACAGAAGAGAAGGCAGTTACTAGTTGACCAATCCAATAACAGCTGCAACCACAAGAAACAAGGAACCTATATTTTCCTGAAGAAACCACTTTGCAAATCTTGCTTTTTCACAACACATCTGGCCATAGCAAATTGCTTCAGAATTACCTTTTCTATGGTTCTAACGTCCAAGGGCAGCCAAGCTGGGCAAGATGAAAGCTGGCTGAGTGTCTTCCTGTGGTTAGGCCCTAGATGCCAAGTAGACACAGGATGAAATTGCTGTTTGTGCAGGGCTTCTCATCCAGCAATCAGATTTCCTAGGGTAACTTTTAAAATATGGGGCATATGTATGTCTCACTTTTGCCCAAGTTGCCACCTGAGGCTGAAACATTCGTGATATAGCTGCATTGACAGAAAAAGAAGAGGAAGCCAAGGCCTCCACTATCAGTTGGAACTTGCTTTTTCAACATTTGTTTCACTAATTAGTCTCTTCAGTTTCTCTCTCTTCCCCCTACCCTCAGGCAGGAGCTGGGGCTGAAATCCCACCCTTCATACTGATAGTGTAAGTATCCCTTGACCTATGACCAGTTGCTTAGCGACCATCCAAAATATCCTCATAAATTATTTTACAGCATGACAAACTTGAAACCTCCCGACTCTAAGCCATCATATAGTTTGCCTAGTGATCTTAGAATTCTTAGTCACATTATTTTATTAATGACAATTTGCTGCATAGTACAAATGGATGAATTTAATGACTTTACACACAAACACATTGTAGTTTAGCCTACTATTCACGTGAACTAGGAAATATAGTCAATTTGTTATTTAGACAAGAGGCTAATCTCTATATTCTCACACCATACTTTATTCTCATACCAATTTTAAGATTTTCCAATGCCCTAAAATGCAGCCCCAGATAAGCAATGTTATATCACAATATACTTTATTACTACTAGGAAGTTTCAAATCTTACTATATAATTATCCAATATTGCAAGAGTTTTAGAAAAGTATATTCGAAATTCATTATGTGTGCAGCAGTTTCCATTCTTAAGCATGCTTTCTGGTCTACTGTGCTCTACACATAATAATATATGGAGATTTATCAACCAGTCTTATGTGTGTTTATTTAGTACACAAAGATTAAATAAGCACTTTGTGTGATAAACAATAGAAGGCCATATACATATACACGATAGAAGGCCATATGAATTATTATCCAAAATAATTCCAGCCTTACCCTAGTAATATTTTCTACAAAATCCTTCATTTCTGCTATACTGAGGAATTCAAAGGGCTCCTTCATGCATCTCTGAGATTGTAGTATCTAATTCGGACAATGGCTAGATATAGGTTTGCAAAATACTATGGTATGATTTGTTTGCTTTATCCTTTACATTTTATACAAACCTAGCTATTTTAATATAAAAATAAAGCATGATTTAACAAACTGCATTAATACCATCAGTGAGAATAGTCCAACAGTGCCTCTTTTACTTTTGCCATTAGACCGACCCTGCAAAATATATCTTTTCCTATGCTCATAAACAGAGATGAGATAGCTAGCCAACACTTGAGCCCAAAAGATGAGATGTGCCAACATTTCTATGTATCTCAGTCAATTGTGAACACTGCTGAAGCAATATTATTACTACATGTACAGCATCCGTTACTGCTTCTTCTCTGTGTCCTTGTCTTGCATTATAACTGTCCTTGGCTTTTGATTCCTTACTATTAGTAAACTTCATATTAAGGTCTAGGCTAGGGTATAGTAATCTGATAACTTATATATAACCATGTTATAGCCACACTATTTTGACACACACATCCTGTACTTTAGACAGGCAGTGGTTAACATGCTGAATTAAGACCAGAGAGATTCAGGTTCAAGTCCACTTTTAACCTTGAAACTCACTGCCTGACTTAAGGCCAGTTATTTTCTCCTAGTCCAATCTATCTTTCATGGTCATTATTATGGGGATTTAAAAAGAGATTCCTTAGAAAAAATAGACTTTAAAATCTACCAGATCATAGCAGTTAAAAACAGACTATGACCAAAGCCCCCACATCTCATATCCTCTGGGTGTGTTGGACTTTTAACTACAGCAGCATAGCCATTTAGAAAGCACCAAAAACATTGACTTGCTGTTTGCTTGTAAGCAGAAACAAAAACATAAGTTATATAAATCAGTGAAAATATTGATATTATAATTTAATGAATTTTGCTGCCACAATCACTAAAGGAAATCTAGGTGGTATAGATGTAATATTCTAAGTAACAGCCATGGTTTTTGTTGTAATAAATTAACAAAGCCATGATTCCGATTACACACTCAAAATGCTGCTATATTATTTAATTCTGGATTAAAGAAGACAAATAGATTTTACCTATTTATCCTATCCCATATGTATTAACAACAGGCAGTTTCCTTATACTTTTAGTCTGTCATCACAATAAAATATCAGGGCAATACCCATGATACCATACAACTTAAAAACAAGTTGTAACAGAACAGAATCCTAACCTAGCACAATAAAATAAACACATTTGCCTATCCCAGGTTAATAACTCAAACTATCACAGCATTTATCATACGATACAGTGTATATGGGGGGGCAACATCTTAAATTAATATATCCAGGTGTAAACAAAAAGTTCAAGCTCAGCACTCACAAAAGGTGTGCAAAACAGGGCACGGCGGATTAGATGCCATCAAGCCAATGCCAAGTCTTTGTGACCAGAGACATATTCTTCAGGATGGACCTAGGAGATCACACTCCAGTTAAAAATCCAGTGCAGGTAGTCCTCAACTTACAATCCCAATTGAGCCCATTTCCACCACTAACTAAGCAAGACAGTTGTTAAGTGAATTTTCCCCCATTATACAACCTTCCTTGCCAAAGTTGTTAAGTGAATACTGTGCTTGTTAGTAAACATGGCTGTTAAGTGAATCTGGCTTCCCCATTGACTTTGCTTGTCAGAAGACCAGAAAAGGGAGATCACATGGCCCCAGGACACTGCAACCGTAATAATAAATACATGCAGGCTGCCAATCATCTGAATTCTGATCACGTGACCATGGGGATGCTGCAACGGTCGTTAAGTGTGAAAAACCGTCCTAACTTACTTTTTTCGGCGCCACTGTCATTTCCAACTGTCACTAAACAAATGAGGGGGGGGGGAGGTCAGTCGAGGATTTTTACCTGTACAGTCGCTGAAAGAAAAGGCTTTTCTGAACATCAGCAGAGCCGGCGAGCAGTTTTCCCACCAGGACGATGGGGGGGAAAAGGGGGAATGAAAGAAACGGAGGGCAGAGAACCGAGAGAGATGAGGACGACGTGAACTTCCTCCGGGCAGCTGCCGCTTCCCTGAAGCAGCAGCAGCAGCAGCAGCAGCAGCTGAGGGGAGCGCGCGAGCCCCAAAGCCCAAGAGACCGTTGAAGCACCGGAAGTAGCGCGCGGCGCAAGAGAGGCTGCTCGCGCCACCGGCCTCTTCTCGTTCCCGCGCGCCCCGCTTTCCCGGGAGTCCCGCGTAGGGCTCGCCCATTCCCCGGTCTTGAGGGAAACCGCTAGCGCAGTGTTTCTCAACCTTGACCATTTTAAGGCATGTGGACTTCAACTCCCAGAATTCCACAGCCAGCATTGCTGGCTGTGGAATTCTGGGAGTTGAAGTCCACATGCCTTAAAATTGTCAAGGTTGAGAAACACTGCGCTAGCGGATGAGGGGATGCCTCGCGTGTAAAACGGGAAGAGGGAGGAGGAGCGGGAACGAAGCCGCCGCTGCCGTCCCTTTCCTCGGCACAATGGCATCACCCGACCGCTTCCTTCCCCTCAGACCGGCGGTAAAGAAAACCCTTCGAGCGAAGAGGAGCGGCGGCGGCGGCGGGGCGGCAGTTAAAGCTGCAGGCAACGCACCGCTGGAAGCCCGGGGAGAGGGAGCGTCTGTCGCGGGCTGCCTCACCTGTTTGCCCCGGTAGAAAAGGCGCTGCCGGTCAGGGCTTACACGGAAGCTTTCCTGGATCTTTTCGCGCAGGCTTTCGATCTTGGTCAGCCGGCTGAGGTCGTCGATAGTCCGGGTCTGGGCACCGTCGATGGTCCGCACCTGGATCCACATGGCGCGCTCCCGGAGGAGAAAAGCAGGAGGAGGAGCGGGAGCTTCCCGCCTCTGGGTTTTTTCCACTGGGCGACGCGAAGGTGGCGATGAGGAGCTGCTGCCCGAATCTCGGGGACCGCCGCGGTGCGAGCCGCTTCTGCTTCCCGCCGGCCTTCCTCTTCTCCGGCCCGCCAGCAGTCTCGGCTCCTCCTAGGCTCGTCCGCCGATCCCACCCGCCCCACTCGCGACCAACCGGCAGCAACGACTCTCTCGAGCCAGCCCAGAATGGCGGCAAACCCTGTCAGAGCTTAGTTGGGAACTGCCGGCTGGGCTAAGCTAACGGGCGCCGGCGGGAGCCATGTCCTAAACCCGGAGGACTGTTTACCAAAGCGCCGCTGCTCTCACATGGAGGTCACGGCGCCAACGCTGATCTCGCGAGAGGAGCCCGGACCACCACAAACCGCCCGCCATCCACGCGCGCCCCCACCCTTGCCGCGACCTTAAAGAGACAATAACGGCGGGCGGGGAAATGGAGGCTTTGGAGGCGGCGTTTCAAGCGCTCAAATCCCTCTTCGCGCCTCTCCAAACACGGGCGGCCCGGCGCCACGCCCCTTGCGCGCGACCTCGAGGCGCCAGATCGGAGGTCCGTTGCCTGATGTTCGTGGCACAATTGGGAGGTTGCGCAACTTCGCTGCCTTGCCCCGTCGGTGTTGTCTCCGTGGGTTACCGCCGCCGTAATCGAATCATGATTGCAATCTAGTAAACAGTAAACATCCTTGCCTCTAAGTTGGCATTACTTGGGGGGGGGAGGGGAAAGCGCCTCTTGAGTTCAGGGAGACGCTCTTCGTCCCTTGTTTATATTTCTTGGGGTGGCGATCCATTTTACACACACACACACACACACCACCCCCAGCTTGTGTATCGGATCGGTGTATGCGGACAGCACAAATACCACGGTCAACATTTACTAGTCTTAGCATAAAAACCCGGACCATCCGGATTTTACACGGAATGGTACCGAAACCTTAGTTATGTTATACAGATGACGTTTGTGTCCACAAACCCACATTTCGCAGCACAGAACGTATCTGAGACACGTCCCGTTAATTTTGCATTAATTAACTTCATATATTGCATACTCAAATCTATGGGTTGCTATCGTTTGCAATATTTAATGCCTAGGGTTCACACGAATCTCTTGCAATTTGCATTTGAATCTTCTCTTATTGACAGCACTGCAAAACATGGCCTCCGCAGGCAGGCAATACCATTTTTGTACAACATCCATCACTTCCTAGAACGGACTATAACAATATTTGGAATTCACTGTAAGAAGAATAGACCCCCAGCGTCTATAGATTACAATTTAAAAGCCATAGTTTAGGCAGATACATTTTCTTTTATTGTTCCTATTGTTATTGTTACTGGTTTCTACCTATGATCCAGAGCTGAGATCTTATCATTATTAACGCAAAAAAGAAACTCCATCCCCCCAAAATGAGCATGACTCAAATTAAATATTGCTTTGAACACTCCGATCTCTCTTCCACAACTCTCCACTTCTCAAGCTGGCCAGAGCTAAGATTTCGTATATAAATTATCTTGATCTTGAGCTACTGCCAGCTCACAGCCCATCAAAATACATGTGAAAGAAAGGGTGAGGAGTGCATCAGTTTACAACATTGTGTGCTTTTGACTGAACTGCATTTGCCATTTTAAAACCATTTCACTTTGGACTGATCATTTTGGAACTTTCTGGATCTTTTAAAAAATGTATTACTGAATAATTTGCTGATGTCAGAAATCTTTGCCATCTCATTGCTCACAACA